CTCTATTTTTGACAAGCATAGAAAACAAGATTAAACTTTATCGTACTTCTTCATTATTTTTAACTTGGCGTTTTACCAAATGAAATTCACATATTCCGATATTTTTCTTCGAGCTCTGACAAGCCATTCGTTTCTTACTGGCATAGAGTCAGAAAATCATTATCCATCTGTACTAAAAGAAATCGAATGTTTCGAGTTTGGATAAGAAATTATTTATACCTTGTAGACGTTAAGTCTTATAATGTTACATATTTTAATTTCATTTATTTAATTTTCTGTTATATTTAATTTCTCATTTTTTGTGTGAAATTCGATCTTGATTTTAATTAAACAAAACCTTGCGATTTTTCCGATTTGTATTGAAAGTCCCCTCCCCCTCATCTCCAGTGATACTAAATGGTTAGTATTAATGAACCAATATGATTAATATATTTCCTTCCCCCTTTGTTCCCCAAAAGGGCATATTAAATATATACCTTATACCCTTATATATACTTTATATATATATCCTTCTGTATCTGCGTCTGTCTGTCCATCTGTTGTTTTTATTCTCTCTGCATCCTAAAATCTTTTCGATTATTGGAATTGGAGATTAAACTTTTAATACATCTATTTGTCTTTTGCAATGTAAATATAACTAATTATTATCGAAAAACCTTAGCACTTTTTTTATCACATTCGGTAGGTAAAGTTTTTCAATGTTGTGCCGAAGATTTTCGAAATGACGTTGCATTCCCAAGAAAATCAACTAACTAGCTGGTCGACAGAGAACTGAGCTTAGGTGATGATACGTTAGGTCGCACGTTAATTACTTACTTTTGGATTTTAGCACGAATAGCACGTGTGTGTGTGTATCTACTACACCACCGAAATAGGTTTTGGATGAAATCTAAATTAAAGCTTTCTGGAAGTCCAGCGTTTCCTTATTGCTTTTAATGTAGTTGGCGATTGCTAGAGGACCCTACAGACTACTTCTGACTCGTCGCGTTCTCACGACATTAATTTCATACATATATAGCTTGAAATAGAAGTTTAATGGCTAACCGTCATCATCATTCCTACTTGGTGATCACTGTGTTAACTAGGATTAGATAATCGATCGAGTAGAATTTTGTTCCAACGGTGAGAAAAATAAAAGTTGATCTTGTACTTGATTCAGCCGTGTTATCCCTTTTTCTTTTGAAATAGGACCTTCGAAATAGAAGATAGAAAGAGACCGAGATACTTTCTTCAATTTGGTCCTTTTGAAAGTTCTGTCCGATTCTATTACACGCGTACGTACGTGTCGTCTATTTCCCCGTCAACGGCACATGCCGACAATCCGTTTTCGGTTCTATTCCGAAAATAGACAGGCTTTGATTCGGCGCTATAGATCCCTAGCTCTTTATTTTCAGAAGGGAAAACATGAAAAGTCAACCAGCAATGTCCTCTTGCGTTCATGTTTTATTACGTGACCGTGTCTGATTCAGATGACACTTATTTAAAGAATGTCATTTTGTTTTTTAATTCTACTCGATCAGAGGTACGCGTAGATACCTGATCAGAACTGAGCGCCAGGTACGATTAAAACGAATGAAATTAAATCATGAGAAGGGATAGGTTATACACGTTGAACTCTCCTTTAATTCTTATCTATTTATTGTATTTTTTGTTTGTTTCAGTACCAACATGCCCCTGCAGGACATCACGATGAGCACAACTTTACCATTTGTAAATGGTAAGTATTGCAATATCACGTTAACGATTAAACGATTATCGATAAGATTTCTTGACCAATCTCGTTTCTCATGGTCTCACTGGAGACCAAAAACCGGATATGAGTTTACGGTCTGTAAACGAATAAAACAAACGATTTTGCTAAACGATCTTGCTAACGTATTACTTTAATAATCGTTATGGTTTATCGATATAATTATGTTACTTATCGTTATGTATATCTTCAATGATAGAGATCGAATTCTTTTAATAATGTACTCAGTGATATATTACAGATGACAATAGGATGATCAATTATCTTTCTCTTCCCTCTTAACACACCCATCTTATTGCTCATTTCCGACGTAATTGACCCTTCATTGAGGTGTGTAACGATGTACCGGTCTATAAGCTACTTATTTTTCACGACTCGTTGATGATAATCACACGTGATGACATAATTATGTCTTTATAGATATTTATATTTTATCTAATAATAATTATTATACATGATATATAGGAAATCAATGAAAGAGTTGTTAGTTGAGTTATATTAGGAAGACCTATCTTCTTCTTCTTCTTCTTCTTCTTTTACGGTTGAATTATTTTTTTATTAATATCTACGACGATAAAGACGACGTCAACGACGACGATGAACATAACATCGCGTCTAGTCGTCTTAGCCAATGTACTCGACGGAGAACGGTGAGAATACTCACCTAATTGTACTCATCAAGATGAAAGAGAGGACAACGAACTTACTTGCCTAGTGGGCTTTTGCTTGCACACCGGCTGAATCTGGTGTATCTACGGTATGGCGTAAATTTGGCCCTTACTAGATGAATCTGTGCCAAATGTGTCGTTTCTTCTTTTGAGAAGGCTCGGTGCCGATAATATTTACGCGGTCTAACCGTCTACTTTAACAATCGTATAGCCTTTCTACTCACTCAAGTCTCTCTTTTATATCTTTACGTTTCTAGTCTTATAAATATTTATACTTAGGGGGAGGGCATGGGGGTGGATTGGATAGGTGGTGAATAGAGGTGGGCTGATTCGAATCGATCTATCTTTGATTTAGAATTATTTAACTTTCATTTTTTCCTATTTAAACGTTCGAGTTTACGGAACACGTAAACGATTTATACGCAAGCATATATATATATATATATATATATATATATATATATATTTATATAGAGGTTTCGCATTCGCAATCGTTTTGTTTAAATGAGAGCGCCGTGTTTCATCAACCAATCGGAAATACGACGCAGAGAGAGAGAGAGAGGTCTTTGATTAATTTCGATCGCGAGAACACTATCAGGAATTTAGGACACCTGTCCCACGGCGCCAAGCTAGCGTCGTCTATGGCATCAAACGGCGAACTCAATTTTCATTCGGTGATAAGATTGGATTCAAATTTGCCAAGTCAGTTTAAAGAAAATAAAAAAAAAGAAACAAAATGTTAATATGTAAGTATTACTACATTGCAAAGTGACGATCATTCGCCTTGTCGAAATTCGTTCATCGCGATCTCGGATTACAGGAAGCAGTGATCCATTTATTTTGGCGGTTCACAAACGTTTTAAGCGGTTAGTAAAGAAGTGGGAGGACGTCGCGACGCCTCGCGTATTTATTTCTGTAACAACATACACTATGCTTTGCGGTGATGATGGTCGCCTGCGTTATTCCACGTTATTATGTACATTATACATATATTTACATTGCGACGTAAAATTTTTGACTAGGATTTACGAAAACATTTCCTCCCTCCTCTCTCTCTCACGAAAGAGAGAATATGATGAGAACGAAACGATAAATTGTTCTCCATTGAACGGACAGGATATTAGAATAAAATGTTATCTACGAGAAATCCATTAAATTTTATTGATCGCATTAGAAGAAATATATTTCAGAAAAGAAAAACGAGAGAAGAAGAATATCGCGATTATATTTTGAAAATTCAACAAATTCAGGAATCTATGCTTAAATCCCATAGAATTATTTTGAGAATGAGAGAAAAAGAGAATCGAGTTGAAACGATACTAAACAATCCTATTCTCAATATACGTCGTAGTAAAATGCGTGCTAAAATTCTGATCGCCTCGGAATAAGTCGTAAAGTTATTATTTTTAACCACAGAGGACTACTGTCCAGCCGGTAGTCGTAGAAAATCAACAGCTAACATTGCTGGTGCCTGCTGTTTTGTGTAGCTGCTGCTGCTGCTGCTGCTGCGTAGCTTAAGCTTTTCTTGGGAAAAGAGATGAGGTTCTAGTAAAAAAGGGGTGGAACGCGATCGGAAAGTCTAGCATGGCTGCATGCTAAGATGATTTCCACGGTTTTATTGCGGGTAGGTCAGGCCAGATTGGAGAATTGCCCGCCAAAATAGACTGTTCAAACCGTTCCGGCCTAAATGTGTCATCTATAAATACGAGAGCCCGGTTGGTACAAGAGAGTGAAAGAGAAAGAAAAAGAGAGAGAGGGAGAGAATAAGAGAGTGAGAGAGTGCCTCGTACGCATCGATACACTTGCAGAGAAATTATCTGAAGTATAATTCGCATATATTCATGAGTCATACGTCGTTTCCCTGCACCCTAGACACCTTGTCCCTCGAGTTTCTTCATCTTCTTCTTCTTCTTCATATTCTTTTCACTCTTTTAATTTTGTCTTTTTCGTTTTCTTTCATCATTTAGTTCTTTTTTTATTTTTTTCAACGTCTGCGAAAGAAACTTGTAAGCCGTCACTGTCGTTGACCGTTTCGTCGTCGCTTTTATATTATTAGACTCCCTCGATAACACCTCTCGAAGAATCATAGGGATTTATTTCCTCCCCCTAATCTTTTTATTTCTCTTTCTCTTTCTTTTTTAGCATTCAAGGCAAAGAGAGACAACGACCATCACCAACGAATAGATGATATTTTTTTTTTTATAAATGTCGCGCAAATGTCGTCAGAATTGAACTTAAAATCAAGGATTTTATGAGTCCTCGAGGGACAGATGTTACCACAACAAATATGGCGTCGTTCTTTCTCGAAAGTAAATTCACAGAAATGTATTTAGTTTTCTCGAAAATTTCTTGAAGATAATATCTACGTATGCATAAATGTGGTATACCAGTGCATATAGATATTATACTTTCAAGCGAATTCGTTAGACTATTAGATAAGTTAGAAGCTTTTAAGAGCTAGAAATTCGTACGTGCTTCTTCGAACACGTAACCTTCAAAAGCTTAAACGTCTTCTAACCGATGCGAATATATAGATTCAAAATATAATTTTAACCGCAGGTTGGTTGTGTTACGACGCAACCTTTGGCTAACAAAGACGATCGTCCGTCGTTTCAGTTCCGATTCGTCTTGTCGATCGGACTTATTCTTCTTCTTCTTCTCCTCTCTTTTATCGCTTCCCTTCACCCTTTGTTTTTATTCTTCTCGAAAAGAAAGAAACAAATAAGAAAAAATATATGTGAGCAGCAAATCAAATTCGCGCGTAAGAAGATAATCAAAGTGATATCGTGTGACGTAGATGTGTAAAAAGAAAAGAAGAAAAAAAAACCTAAAAAGAAAGAGAGAGAAAAAAAAGTATTTCGATTAGGTGTTCCGTTCTTGTGGCATGGGATGTAGTAGGTCAAGGTTAGATCTTCCGTCGATCTCGCAAAACAACGAGGATAGACCCATCAGGATCGAGATTAAATTCGGTACGATAATAAATAATCGATTTAAAATGCTGATCGAATTTTTAATCGATGACAAAATTTATTTGTCCGCCTTGAGAGACGGTCGGACGTACTCACGCAAGCCCACGCAGGCGCGATCGAGAATTATATTCGATCATCGAGATATAATAACCAAGAATAAATAAAAAAAAAAAAAAAGGAATAAAATTGCAATGGCGTTTTCCGTCCTTATGACGGAATAACGAAGGATCGTGAGTTAGTATAAGATCGTAAGTTTGGAAAATTGTAGTCTGAGAAAGCTTTGAAATGATCGTTATCGAATGAAAGATCTATTTCGATCGATTTTGGGATTTATACATGTATTTACACACGTGTATAATTAAAAATGATACGTTTAAGTTTTATCATTGAGTGCATCAATAACAGAGTGTTTCCTTTAATGTATTAATTTGTTGTTCATCGCGTTGTTGCAGGTACAAATTCAAAGTCATCTGGTAAAAATTCTCCTGTTAGCGGTGTCGTCGAAGGTGTACCAGGGATGGCATCCGCAGGGGTTGGAAGAACGATGAAGGAATACGAAGATCAGCTCGGTGCTTTAAAGAAAGAGAACTTCAATCTTAAATTGCGAATATATTTTCTCGAAGAACGTATGGGGATTACTTCCGCCGACGAGGATGCGATTAAAAAGAACATCGAGTTAAAGGTCACTATCCGAGTGCCAAGTAGTAGTCAGTCGTTCATCGATCATTGAACCCGCGTTCGTTTTTTTGTATGTTATAATAATATATAGAGTTAGTAATAGTAGTAATTATTGTATCGTTGATATTGAAAAAGATCGATAATGTTATCTATTCATGTGTCATATGTAACTAACAGAAAATATTGAACGGTGACACGGTGTTTAGGTAGAAGTTGAGTCGCTTAGGAAGGAGTTGGCAGAGAAGCAGGAACTTCTTAGCCAAGCGGCTAAGGCATTCGAGTTGATTGAGGAACAAAAGGAGGTCTCCTCGCGGAATCAAACACAATATGAGCAATCTCTTGAAAAGGAGCGTGAAAGGATCTTGCAATTGGAAAAAGGTCGGTAATGCTATTAAATTATTATTTATGTTTATCCTTATAAAAAGAGAATTGTAGTAACTTAATTCCTTCAGTTATTTTATTGTTATTATTATATTTTTATTTCTTTTTTTCTTATTATCTTTTCTCAGAACTCGAGGAATATCGGGAAAGAGCAACTACTGATGCTTCCATTTTTTACAAAGAAGCATTTGGTGTTACGCCAGAGAAAGCTTTGGAAAATGAAAAACTTCACCAAATGGAAGAACTCGTTGAATCGCTCGAGGCTGAGGTAAGTATTATTTAAAATCGTTTAAATTATCTACGACGAGAAAAGAATATTATAATTTTTCAATTTGCTTCTTCCTAACTTACTCGCAGTAAACAAACGGCAATGGTAACGGTCTCACTTTCCTTTTGTTACCACAAATAAGATTACCACAGTTCGATAAGATGACAGTTAGAAAGAATTAATCAGTATGCTGTACTCGTTGAAGAGATAGCAAACGCGTCTCTACGGAAGAAATATTTTTTAATGAACATTTATCATTTTTTTCTTTATTTTCTTTGTTTTAAGATAATTAGTATCATTTATTTGTTCAACGAGTTTTTTTAAAAAATAAAACTAGTGAATTTCCATTAATCGTTCGTGTAAATTTTCCGATTGATTATCAAATTAGTTTAATAAAATCATACTAATTATTATCTTCTTCAGGTAAGACAATTAAGTGATAGCTTAGAAAAAGAACGTGAATGGGCTCAAGAATTGGAAAGCGAAAGGGATGAATATAGAGATCGTTTTGAAGCTGCAATACAAATGAGAGAAAATTTGGTTACCGAAAGGCTACGAGATATCGATGAATTGAGAGAACAAGTTCGAGAATTGGAGGATCAAATTTTTAAAAAAGATACTATCATTCAGCAATATAAAAGTGAAATAAGTGAAAAAGATAGGGCGATAAAGGAGAAGAACACGTTACTGGAAGAAAAGTGTAGGGCATATGAAGATATATGTTCAGTTTCTGATAGAAGAAAAAAACAGATTGATCATTTGAAAACGTCCGTAAAAGCACGAGACGATGCTCTGACTGATCTAAATAATAAACATCGTACTCTTTTATCTCAGGTAAAGAAACATTTCTCCTAAAAAAATTCGAAGGCGTTAGAGTTAAAACGTAGAACAACATTTATTCTTACATTCGGTTATTTCTCTTCCAGTTTGAAAACGGCTATACAAAACGATCACCGGTAAGCAGCCCCTCGACAGTAAATCCATTTATAGAATCCATGTCGCCAAGGATGGCACAAAAACTAACTTGTCTGCAGGGTTCAGCGAATAACGATAGCGCTGCGTTTGAACGGGAAGCAAACAAGGAAAGACTCATTAAAGTAAAGTCGCCTACAATCATGATGGCCAGTACGGATGAAAAGGAAACTAAAGAGTTGGCAAAGGTAATTTTCCATAAATTCTCAATAATTATCCATTTTTTTTCTTTCTTAGGTTTGCATCCATTTTGTTATTTGTACAAATGAATCCTCTATTGATAGGAATTGCAAGAAAAGGAACTAGAGTTGAAGCGACAGGAGGAAGAAAAAAAACAGTTGATCTTGAAATTGTGTAACGTGCAAAAGCAAGTTGAAGTTACGGATCAAAAATTCAAAAAGATGGAAGGTGAACATCAAAAGGCTGTTAAGATGATCCAAGGATTTATGGAGAGGCAACAACAGTTGGAAGATAGAATAGCAAGAAAAGAACGGAAGATAGAGGAATTGGAGGCTGAATTGAATAGGTCATCTGGATACGAGGATGTGAAAGCAAGAAGACGCGATGGATCTGCCAGAAAGGATTACGGTGTTGAAATTACTGAAAATCCAGAACGTGATGATAATAGCAATCAGGTCGATATTACAATTTATGGACTTTACTCGATTATCTCTACGTTTTTAAATAAACATCCCTTAGAGAAGAAATATTGACCTGCAAATCAAATTTAATTGAAATGTTACGAATTGTAATATTTCAATTAAATGATTTGCAGTTTAAAAATACGATATATTTGTCGTGTGGTATCAACACTTTGAAGTGAAATTGTTTATGAAACGTAGAGATATCATGTTAGAAGCAAGGATATATAATCACTATTTAAATTATAAAAACAAATGCATGACTTAGTACATCAAACTTTTTTGTTTCTTTCAGAATCACTGAATTTTACTTCTTCTACTTCTCCTTCTCTGCTTTATGCCATCACTACTAGCAATGCATGACAATTACTGCTATGAACATCATTCATTATCGCGACTGCCTTGCAGCATAAACAGGCAATAACGTATTTATTTAAATAAAAAAAATGCTTTTCAGTACTTATATATACATATATATATAATATACATATATATATATTATATATAAATATATAGTCACATATAAATAATAAAGATGTAGTGGACATATTTTTGAATCTTTTTTAATACTTAACTTAGTTCATTAGTATTTTTGTAATTATTTTCTCTAGACTATTATATGTGACTATATTAATTTGAAGACTTAGCACTTTTCAAAGTATAATTATTTAATTTGATTAATACGTAATCATATTCTCGATAGATATTCAAGCGTTTTTTTTAATTTAAATGAATAGTTACATTCGAGAGTTTATATTTTAATCATCTTTAGTTCAAATGCGATTCTGACTTGTTTTATAGTTAAAAGTTCAAAGAAAAGTTCGTATTTATGAATGCGAACGAAAATATTACAGAAATAATGAAATCTTCATTTCTAATAACATTTGTGGGTTTCAATTAAATCTATTAGAACACACAAGAGAAATGCCAATACATTACATTGTAGATTTTTATTTCCGTCCGTTCGTGCATACTTAGATGTTCTTGTAAATAGCCGTTAATTTATTTTTGTCACATTAAAAATAGTACCCGAAATATCTTGTGTATTTTTTTTTGTCATTATATCTTTAAAAAATTTTTAATTGAAATTTTGCGTGTCGCAATAAAACAACAACAACAACAAAAATAATCGCATTTACGAGCTATATTACGTTATCTCTCATGATCATATAGCCCTTTGATTTATTCTATTATTTCTTTTTTCATTTTATTTTTCTGTAATGCACGCCTTCTTACGAACGTTATACTTCTTCAGCATGAATCTTACTTGGATATGTTTCTCGGTATATTGTTGATAATATAAAATGACGTAGCCGATTATTACGTTGTAATTATAAAGAAATAGAAATAGGAAAAAAAATATTTATTTTTACGAAATAACGAAATTTCCTTAAGAAATATTGCGTGGAATCACGTGATGTCCGGGCTTCATGGAATCTCGGTGATACCAAATTGAAAGCACGCATGCCGTCTAATAATAGTGATCGTATGTCCCAACATCTTGCAGTCCACGCTCGGCAGTGTTCGCACGAAAATTCATCTCGACTGGTTAATCACCATCGTGTGGTTTTCCTTTTAACGAACGAACGACCAATAAGAATTAAATTAATTAAAATTAAAAATATTCCGTACGGTTCGTTACGCGGTTCATCATTAACGCGTCGCGTGTCGTTGAAAAGAAAAAAATACCTTTTTTTTTAAAGAAAAAAAATATACAAAACTTTTGTTTTTACTCTCACGAAAAATTTATCGCATCTCGGAAAAAAAATCATATTAATTATTGTGACTATTATTAATTCGAGTTTAACAATAACAATCGTTCTTATTGGCACCATCACGTTTTGAAAATAAAAAAAAACGATAACGAAGTATACACAATACTACTACGGTCATTCACAGTGCTAATTACATTTTAGCGCTCGCGTTGAATACCACTTGGGATTCGATCTTTTCCTCTTTTCCTATTTTATTTTATTTTATTTTATTATTTATTTCTCTTTATTTGTTTAATGTTCTTGATTGTCCATTCTATCTTTGACGAATTCGAAAGTTAAACTTAGTACGCGTAAAACATGTTCTCCTGTTTGTGTGCCTCAATGCGGATGGAGGTAGGTGTATCACGATATCAAAAATAGATTGATATCGTCCAAGATAGGGATTAATTATATCGAAAATATTAATCTTATTTTTTTTTTTTTTTTTTTACGTATACCCAGATTTTCTCTTATTGTTTTTTTATTTTTTATTTTTTTTCAGCGAATATGTTTTAAAGTGCACATCAGACAGGATACTTGTTATACATTTGTACAAGGGAAAAAAAATGATAGAAAATATTTGAAATTATATTAATTTTAATTAATATGAAGGTAGAATTTAGATATCGAGTTATTTCGACGAGGACAATCGATAGGAATTACAAATTGAATCTTTTTCTTTTAGGGCCCAGCCGTTATCACGATTGTTCCCCCGCGCTCTTGGCCAAAGAAAATGAAAAATTAATTATCGTTGAAAAATCAAATTCCAGTAGTCGTCTATGTCCTCCAATTTTTGTTATAATATAATGATAATCATCCAATAAAAAATAGAGAATTTTTAATTTTCGTGACCAATCTTATCCTCAATTGCATATACAAACTGTAGCTCGCATTTCTTTTTGTAACATTTATATATCTGTAATTAAATTTGTTGTGTTTTATCAATAAAAATGAATTCCTTTCTATATCGATCTGTTTGAGTTTTATTCACGATGAATATACTTTTCTATGTGCAGCAACGGTTTGAAGAAATGGAAGCCAAAATAAACGACCTGCGAGATCAGATAGAGACAATCAAGGAGGAGAAACATCGTCTGGAAAAGCAAATACAGGTTGAATCAGAGGTATGATCATTTTTATATTTTATTTTGGCTATTCTTCAATGCTTCCTCGAGATATTTTTATCCTCCTTATTCTCTGAAATAATTAATAAATCGAATAAATATTTTTATTTCACAGGAGTTACAGGAACGACTCAACGACAAAGATCAACGAATAGAATTTTTAGAAATAGAGAAGAATACGATGAAAGAAGAGTTACAAGACAAGATCACTGAACTTGATAAGTTGAAACAAGCGACTGTGGAAATTCCCACCAACGAATTTTTTGAGTCTTCGGAATATAAAAAATTAATTCAAGAACTAGATCTACGTAACGCGGAAATCGTTGAGAAAAATCAGAAAATCGAGCAGTTAAGCAAGGAGTTGCAAGTGAAGACACATAATCTTCAAAAATTGGTGAATACCGAGTTATGGAGTAAAAACAAAGAAATCGCCAAGCTACATAATCATATGACGGCAAACAATCAATTGGATAGAAGTAGAAGCAAAACTGATATTCCTCAAGAAAGTGCTAGTACACATTTTGCAACTCTTATTAAGGAATTAAGTGACATTGGCATTAAAGTATCTTTTACCAACGAAATCATTCAATTAAATTACGTGAATGGAAACGAGTCGATAGACGTTAAAACAATGACAGAATATATTCAAACATTGGTTGAAAAGAAAAACGAATTGGAGAAAGAAGTGGATTATCTTAATTGGTTGAAACTTGTCACAAAACCCGACATAAAAGCAGAAATTGATGAATGTGAGAATGAAAGTGAAAGAACGAGAAAATATTGCGAATTGTTACGCGCTCATTTAAAGGATCTCGTTAAATTAATGAAGGACATTCTGAAGAACGCGAATCATCTTGATACGATTAATAGTAACCATAATCAAATCGTATTGGACGTGCTCCTTAGTTCGAATATATTTTCCGATGAGTTTGCACAAGTTCTCGAAGAGATGACCAAGCACGTTGTGATCTTTGGTAATAATAAAAATGCGATTGAAAATAACGAGAAAACAGACAATGCTGTGAAAAAAAGTTATTCCGAAAATATTTTGGATTTACCGAAAAATCATACGACTACTCAATCAGATTCGGAAGCTTTCTCGGAACCTGATAGAATAGTATCTATGGCTAGAATCGGTTTACAAGAAACTCAACACAAATCTATTAATCGTTCAAGATTTAGCAAACATACGAAAACGTTTAGCGACTCGGAGGATTCGATGGATTATATCCCATATCATAAAACTTATCAAGATGATTTACATGATCTGGACGCGAATAATCATATACAGGAACTGAAAGAAACAAATAATCTTTTATATTCTGAATTGAGTGCTCTTAGAAACGATCTTAATACAAAAATTTCCTATGATATCGTATGTAACTTTTCTTTCTCTATTTTTTTGTCTTTATTATTATAGTTTCATGCTAAATTTATGAGTATCTTTGTTTTACTTTTAGGTATTCGATGAAAAGTTGGTACCGCTCATTTTGAAACTTGAAAAGTCACAAAAAGTTTGCGAGAGATTGCAATCGTCTTTAGACAAGAGAATACATGAGTGCCATGCTTTGAGAAAAGAGAGTAAACAGAACAGTATACGTAAAGCACAACTTGAGAAAAAAATAGTAGAAGTGGAGAGTATGGTCGCTGAAATGAGTAAACAAAAATCTGAACTTCTGCAGTATAAAGAAAACACAGAGAAGAAGACAGCTGAGATGTTAATGGTTCTTAAGAAAGAAAACGAGAGAGTAAATATTATTTTCTTTTTTTTTTCAGTTAATTTTAGTCTTAAATGATTTAACTTTACTGTAACACTTTTTTTTTTTATATACTTTAGTTGAGATCCAAAATCAGAACAATGGAAGAAGATAGCGAAACTGCCAAAGCAAAAATATCAGCCTTAACAAAAGAGTTGGATCATCTTACACTCTTACATAGTCAAATTCTCGTCGAAAATACAAAATTAACTAATGAGAAATTAAGACTTGAACAAGAAGTACGAAAAACTGATAACAGATACGATGTGTCTGTTCGTTTATTGCAAGATAAATTTAATAAAGAGGTAAGAGAGACACTCATTGAATTATTTATTTCCTATTTTTATTTGTAATGATAATATACAACAGAACACATATATGATTTTCTTTTCTGTAGATCTCAGATTTGAATCAAATAAATGATTCCCATAGAGCAAGAGTTGAAGAACTCGAAGCTACAAATAAAGAACTTCGAAGACACGTTGCTGTTTGTGAAGCAAGCGATTCTGCACCAAGCTCGAGTGGGGTTTCTTCGATACCAACTGATTCCACATTAAAACAAGCATGTGACGAAATTATTCAAGAATACCAAAATTATAATGTAAGTGTTTACTAATGCTCTTTTAAGAAGAACAAATAAAAGTTTGATGAATTATGATTAACATACCTTATAATTTTGACAGGCCTCGCAATATTGGCATCCAATAAATTATCAAACTCTCGGTGGACGAAGTAAATCCAGTTGTTCGCCTGATCTAGGCATTGAAAGTGATGCAACAATTAACACAATAAGACCACTACAAGATACTTTGAAGATTACCGAGTCAATGACCAATTTACTCAGCGATGAAGATAATGGTAATAGGAATGCTGCTGCTCGAGAGGTAGACAGTGATAGTCCATTGCCAATTGAAGGTACGTTTTAATTCATTTGATTTTATCTTTAAAATTTTCTATATACTCTTAAACGGAGTATAACATCGTTTGCAAATATTTAATGAACAATTTCTTCACTAATTATATCTTATTGCTTTTATAGCAATTTTTGCTGGACATAAATATAGTATGTATCTCTGATAAACAATTTAATTATTGTGCTTTTTAATCTGTCTAATTTAGTTTAGATAAAAGTTAGTCATTTTAGTGCTTATTTTTTTTTTTTTTATATCTTTAGCATTTTCTATATTTTGATTCATTAATTCAATGTGATTCAGAATATAGTATTTTTGCTTATATTTAAAAAATATTTTATGCGACTTCCGCTTATACCATCTATATAAGCTTATTTTAAGTTCAAAAATTTGAGATCATAAATTTATCGTTAAATTTTATAGGTCTTGATGAAATAGAAACACTTAAACAAGAAAATGAAACGCTGAAACGAAGGTTAATGAAAACAAGAAGAGCTCTTGAAGATACTTTTCAACACTTGTCAACATCGAACAAGAACAAGAAGAATGTAGAAAAGGCAATCACCAAACAATTGATGATTACGAAAAGTATATTAAAGAAAACAAGAACTTACGATGAACCATTTGAGAACTGATATGAACAAAAATATATACAAAGACCGAATTGAATTAAATATGTCTGTAGAAGAGAAAGCAGATACAAAATGGACAAGGTTTTGTTTAACCAATTTGCGTTAATCTTTGAATTGTCCACATACACACAACACACAAAAACATCGTGTTCAATTTTAATTGTTACATATTTTAGAATCCAACTGCTATACTATTCTACAGACTTATATTGTTAATTTTTTTAATAATGAAACATTTCGAAGTGACACGTGTAAATGTTACGAATATTACTAACAGCGATATTCTATCATTGTAATTTTTGTAAAACACAAAAAAAAGAAACAAAAAAATAAGTATTTTCTTACTACAACGAAATGTTTTCGAGAGGAAACGAAAAAATGAAAAAACCATTTATGTGCTTTTTAAAATACGCGACTGTATAATACGATATTTGTATATACTTATGTAGAAAGATTGCACGTAAAACATTGTATAAATCCATTTTGATTTATACTTTAGTGATTTCTTTCTTTTTTTTTTTACATGTTAAGTTCTTAGCAAGAAACTTATTCTTTTTTCAATTAATTATTTTATCGATTACATGAAATCACACGCGCGAAAATTCAAAAAGGTGTGTTGTATCATTATACGGCATTTGTACATAGAGTCTTCATAAATAATAAAGTGCCATTAATATTTGCGGTTTGAAATATTTTCTTATTTCGTTATTTTTAGACGTATTTATATTCCTATTCTTTATTTTCTAATTTCTCTTTACACAGAAAAAATGTTATACTAAATTTATAATTAATGGACAAATACTTCGTCGAGATCGACTTTGGTGCTTCTCTCATTACCCCGAAACAGTTCTGGTATACGAATAAAATACGAATTAACATAGATTATGATAAATTTTTATTATCACTTGATGACTAGATAATAATATAAAGATCCGTAATAACCGATTTCGGTGAAGTTGCGAACTGCGATAATTACACGCATGTTTTTTGTCCGTCAAGTTCGATGAGGAGCACAAAATCAGTTTTCTTTTTCTTTTCTTTTCTTTTCTTTTCATATTGTACAACATTTCACTCTTTCTTAGTCGTTTAATATAATATCTTTCTTAACGTATTTTTTCATGTTATTTATTTTTTCTTTTGTTTCTCATGATAATTGAATTTGTAGGCAGAATGATTAGGAAGAAGAGGGGTATACGTATATACAATTCTACAGTGACACTTTTCCATTAGCACGCTGCTATATATGATCAAGAACTGTAATCAAAGTCTCATGACCATTACGATGAGTACATTTTTATCTTTTTCTTTCTTTTCTTTTCTTTTTTATTTTAACGAACCAAGAAGATGAACGACGAACCAAATAGAAGACAGTTATACGTAAGATAAAAGAAGATCCCGGTTAGATTTTTCGAGATCGATTGATCGTTCCATGAACTCTCTACGTATGTATCTTGAATATGTCTGTTCATTTTTTGGGATAAGATATCTTATCTTGTTCGAGTTATAAACGTAAATGGATTCACGATTTGTTATATATTTTAAAATCTATATACCAAATATATAATAATACTATATACACGTATGTAGAACATCGAACGAACTATTGCGATTAATATTAAAAACAGCTGTGTGTGTTTTTTTTTCCAGAGACCAATAAAACAAACGAATGAGAAAATTCATAGAGCAAATTCAGTATGATAGATACAAATCAATGAAGATTTTGTTTCGATTACAGTTCCTGCATGTAATATACGCGATTAAATGCTTCATTTTTTAATTGATACGAGACGCACGTATAATTATCATCGATTCATTTGTAGAAAAATCCGATGATGGTGCGGAGGAAGATCCCCATTTTTTATTTTTTATTCGCAACATTATCGCGTCTTATTCATATGCACATTAAATTTATTTGTTTCTTTTTATTCTTTCTTTCTTTCTTTCTTTCCTTCCTTCTTTCTTTCTTTCTTTTTCTCGAAGAACGCGTATACAAATTTCAATATAATAAGAAGGAACGAAAAAATATTAGTATCATTCGCCAGAGCTTTATTTTTCGACATTATTTGTAATCGATCGAAACTGGCACAAATATTTTGATCATTTACATATTTTCGATCTTCACTGTTCTATAATCTAAATGTAATTTTGATTATCATCATTTGTTTGACCTGTTTGTTCCAGTATGATCGATCGCAATTTTTCAGCGATCGAGTTCAATTTGATTTTATTCGGAATACCAACGAAGGGATCTGCATTATCGACTCTTGGATTTATAGTTTAGATAATTACTAAATAATTCATTGGGGAATGTATCCTTTGTACTGTTTTATGTGAATGAAATGATTAAACGTTCTGAACTTTTGTAACGTTGAAAAGATTAAAAGAGATAATCCGAATGGCGAAATAATTGTGATTATTGATTCTCAAAATAGCAAGTCTTTTGTAAAACCCATATCTTCACCTACAAATCATTTGTTACCATTGATTACAAATTCTTATAAGGATTAATACTTCAATTTTTTAATCAGACATCGATTTGTAGTATTTATTTTGTAAAGAAAATTATCGATCGTTTTGATACGACATACGCGTACAGATAACTATACCTACTTTCTTTTTTTCTTGTAGAATTTAATCTTCTAGAATTTGCAATCAATGTATCTCTCGAAACGCAGTTTCAAACATTTCGATTTCCACTTACTTTTGCGATATTTTGTAAGAAAAATCAAAGTATCGATGTGCTAACTGATCATTAGCTCATGCCACTTAGAAATTCGTACAGAAGATTCAATAAACAAATTGAACACTTATACGTAAACACACGATATTAAATATAACAAGTAATTAAGTAAGTAAGTAAATAGATACTTCGGGGAAATGAAGACGTATTTACTAAGAAACGACTTGTACAAGGTAGGTAAAAGTATCGATCGTTTAACTCTTGATACAAATGTGAAATGTCATAATATTTTGTAAAATATATGATCCGATTAGTTTATCAGAAGTTAAAAACTCTTTTTCATAGTACATTTGTTGCCAAATGAATAGAAAATAAAAACGTTGAAAAAGATATTTGGACTATTTCATTTAGAAAGTAGTCATAATATACAATTATGCGAATTGTGTTGATTTCTTTTTCGAATCTACGATACTTCGAGCTACGCAAGAAATTCCACGAAAGCTGATTTCGATAGTTATACACGATCAATACCTTGAATGAGCAACCACTGCTCGATAACGATAGATAAATAGATACGTGCATGTTCGTCGTGTATATACGTTACTTACGCGACAGTTTTCATCGATGCTGGAATTTACAGATTACATCTCCCGAAATATTACGCCGAAATTCATTTATCACGAGTCGAATTTAATACCCACGATGAATCATATTTGATTTTCATCGTCCCGTCATTAGATCTTAAGCGATTGCTTGCTATTGGGTGCACTTCACTTTTTCGCAATTTTTTTTTTTTTTTTAAATGGGAAAAACCAACTTTAACACATCTTGAGATTGAGTTTGATTGATTGTGAGAGAGTCAAGCGATCGATCGCTAAGATTTCGTATTTCAGTTCCATTTCATTATTTTTTTTTTTGTTATTCTTTCTTTCTTTCTTTCATTTTAAGTACTTCGATGCTCTTATATTTTTAGATTTTATATATAAATAATACTTATGTAACGTCAATTATACACATGAAATAAGAGAACGTCGATCGCGATTATTATTATGATAAGTTGGTACAACCCATTGCTCTTCTCTTTTCACCATACAAAAAATGTCAATTATTTGTGCGCGAAACAACGGTTTAAAAGTTTATTAATTTGTTGCATCGTTCATGCGATGCTCTACTATGGACGAATACCAGAATCATAAAATCTCTTTAAATGTTTCTCAATTAAAAACCAAGTGATAATAGAGTATTAAATAAATAATTTGTAATGACAAAAAATCAATCACCGACCATAATATCTCTCGTTCTACAATAATTAAAACCATAGTTCAAATTTATGGTACGTCTTATAATTTTTGCATTATTCGCACGTCTTCTTCCAACTTGTTTTACATTTCCAAATCGTTAATTACCCTTTTTCGTATCAAAGCAATGTCAAATTTGGACATAAATGAATTTGAATAAATCGCAACGCGTATTTAATTGTCGTAAATGTAATGACATAAATGTGTAATCGGCTAGAACGACGATGACGACGACAACGACAACGACGACGACAATGACGATGAGTCTTTCCCTAATAGTAAGGGAATCCGTGAACACGGGATTCTTCTCATTCGTCATAAATCTCGATGAGAATTTGTGTCTGTCGTCAGGTAAATGTTGTTGTTCCATAGCGTTGCGTTATTTTAGACGGTATTCGATATCGTTCGGCTTTGGCGGGTTATGTGGCGTAGTGTGATTGGTGATGAGCATGCGAGGGTGGCTCTCCAAGCCAGGAATCCGGCGAGGGTGGAAAGTCGGGGTAACCACCACCGCCACCGCCACCACCACCACCACCACCCCCGCTCGATTCGTTGCTTAGATCCGATGCAGGTCCTGGTACCATGCCTCCTGGCCCTCCTATTTACAATTCAATAATTTTGTTAAATCTTATTCGAATCATATTAATATTACAATTAGATTCTTTTAAAGGATTTCGATGAAAAAAATAAAAATATAATTAATTCTTACCTAGTGTAGTGTATACTGAAAGACCTGCATCCGGTGGGTATGGAAATTGTGGTGGTAAGGACGGTGATCGAGATGTCGATAGATAAGGTGGTGTCGTTGCACCTAAATAACCACGAGGTGGTCCACCGCTACCACTGTTTCCACCACCACCTGGACTCGCACCTTCTCCGTCCAATCCCATATTAACAACAGTCCCGTAACTGTCGTTACTCAAATCTAAAATAACAGATTTATGTTATTTAGGAATAAGTACATGTGTATCTTTTTTATGTACTTTTTACCAATAGATCGACATTAGTATTATTACGTAAGGAAATTAGAGATACAGAGAGTTATCTGAAGTGAGCGTAAACGAGTGACCGAATCAAACAGAAGGCATTAGTCGTGACGATGAAAAAGATAAAACTTGTCTAGCATGATGAGCCTTGGTGATAATAATTCAACTCGTTCGAACAGCACCCGACGTTCGGCTTATGATAGATCGAGGGAAGATAAGCCGTGCCTCTTGATCGAAGATAATTCTTGTCCTACTAGGAATGCACGTGCCACCAATATCATTCCCACTTTCGCGACGTGGCAAACATGAAAGACATGGTTTCTAACGCGTTTAATTCAGAATGGATTGCCTTCTGAATTATAAACAGATTACTTGTGCTTGGACGCCTCGTGATGTCACGTTTTAATTTTATTATCTTTTCTCTGTCTTCAATCGTAGATCCTTTCGATCATCTTTATAACAATGTCGTCGTTTAAATAAATTCAATATCACATATATATATATATATATATATTATGTATTCGTATTCGAAAGAAAATTTTTCTTATTCGAAACAATTACACCGATTTCGAGTTGATTTGATTAAATATTTAACATAAAACTTGCGTAGGCTTTTTGGTGTACAGCTAATGGGGGATATAAATTCAAGGATAATCCGCAATCTTCCGAAAATCTCAGGTATAGCAAGCTAGCAGTTAGCCTTTGCAATCTCCTGAATATTTGAAGAAGATCGTCCTCTCCTCCCTTGTAGGTATCTTGCGAGCGATAAAGCGATTGCGGGAACGGAGTTTCGTGAGGCTCGTTTTATCCAACGAGTCTCGTCTTTTGCGTGGGACGAAGAAACGATTCTTTTTTTAGAGAACCCACGTAATTCGCGTGTTTTCGCGTATATAAATATATATTTAAATATAAATGAAGATATATATATATATATATATATATATAAATTTTTGTTGTTTTTATTTGGATCTAGGAAAAACTAAGAAAGATGCATTGATAATTTGTACATACCGTGATGGCCAAAGGTCGAATCCAAATCAACTTTAAGTTCGTCCTTGTCAAGTAATTTGTCGTGCCTAGGCGAATGTCCACCCGCACTGGTACCTTTCATACTTCGGAAATACTGCGACCACCTTGTCCTACCAGCGTCCTTCTTCAGTCTCTTCTCCTTTGCCCTCCTTAACACGAATGATTCATTCTATTCCGATCTTGTTTCTATTTAATTATTTGACGAGAGAAAGAAAAATATAATAAAAACGAGAAGGATCGGTGCACTCTTAGAAAATGAATCACCGATTATATATTTTCTTCTAAGACTATTATCTAAAACTTGACGATTGTATAATCGGCACGCGTAGAAAATTTTTACAATTACGAATCTCGTTTTTCCTTATCGGTTTTATCGATTACGACGTCGATCTTAGAAAGCTGCAGAGGTAACTACTTAGTTAGTGTCATTTCTTCTCTCGATATTCTCCTCAAGATTTCTTCGAGTGTAAGGTGCGATAGAGAAATGTATAAAAAAAAAAAAGGCGAGATAAAATAATATTCTTAGATATAGCTCACCTACTTTTGTTACTTTGTACCGCGGTATCGCTCACACGTACTTCAAGCGATAATAATAACAGGCGAAAAAGAGAAAATAGTTTTATGATTGTAGAAATTCTAAAAAGATTATATTATTTTCTTAACTTTCTTTGTTAATTTTTCTCTAGATAGTATTCGAAGGGAATAGGGATATTGAATAGCGAACGTGGTTGTCGATCGATTTGTACGGAAATTCTTATCGTCGGTATTCTCTTTCTCGACAAGTTAATGAATCCGAAGCATTTAATTCTATCTGTGGTCTCACGATTGGTCTTGCCTTAAAGCAAAGGCTTCGGAAACCTTGCCGGTTGATACGGAATCCTTATGAGTGCCCAGCATCTCACAATTACTCATCTGCCTTGGTTTCGCTTAAATTTATCTCCCAACGAAGAGGCGCTCGCCCTTTTCGTTCAATAAACGATTCCTAGTTCTGTTTGTAAGCTGATTGTTCCTTCCTTCTCTCTCCTTGTTTTCAAATTGTTATGATGTAGAAAATTTAGTCGAATCGATTTCTCTATCTCGAAATATACAGTACAGAATTCTATCTTATGAATCGCGAATTTATCTCGAAAAAATATCTTTAAAGTGATTTTTACGTTATTCTAATGATACACGATTTTTGAATTGTGTTTCTCACGAGATAAATATTGACAAATTATAGTCTTACCTGTTTTGAAACCACACTTGGACGACACGCATGTCCAAACCCGTGTCCTGCGAGAGTTGTTCCCGAACATGTCTCGCTGGCTTTGGACTGGTATTGTACGCCAATTTCAAGGTCTCCAATTGTTTCGCCGTGATCGTCGTTCGCGGCCTCTTGTTTGGTTGATCACCATCGATGCTACCGCCGTCGGCCAGTTCTAAAATTTGTTACAATTTTGTGTCCTAATCCTTTGATATTTCATTTAACGTTATTACTTATATTAATAGAACGACAAAAATTCGGAGAAATTTAACTCGACGTTTAATTAATTTACGAGGATACCCGTAGAGTGAACGAAACAAAAATATAACCAATTGAATTCACTCCAGGGGGTTAGAGATATCTTTCTCAATTTCCTACCCGCTGTTTCAATTTATTTTTCCGACAATTAATATTACCTTTTGCCTTGGCTTGTTCGTAGTCCGGTTTGCAGACGAGTTTCTTATCCTCCATGAGGTAAAATTCATCCCCGGTGTCCAACTGTCGCGAACAGAGTGCGCAGGAGAAACAGGTCAGATGATAAACCAATTCTTGCGCTCTTCTTACCACTTGCGAAGGTGCCAATCCTTGGCCGCAGCCCGCGCATTTCGTCCCAAAACGCCTGCCACACCAACAACATACAACATTTTCACATTACATTCACACGTAAATGACAAGACTCTACCGGCTTTTAATCGACACGCGTTATCTCTTTTTTGCTTTTCTTCTTATCTTTTTACACGATTTAAGTTAAACAGGAACAACGATTAAATTTGTAACAATCATTGGTGCTTACTTGAAGAAATCATCCTTGCAAAAGACATGGCCGTTTCTTGCGAAGCATTTGTCTGTTAGCCTTGCTCCGCAGTCACGACAGGTAAGACATCTCGCGTGCCAACACCTTTCTAGGACCTTCAACACGTACCTATCCAAGATAGCTTCCTGGCAACCACCACATTTCGGTATCGATGCTGGAACGAAACAGGATAACTAGAATTAAGAATAGTTCTCTATTCGAAAATAAATCGAATCGAATATTTAGGTAGAAATAGTGTAGAGATATTTGACAAGGGAACCAACACAGCAATATAGCTCTGTTCACTTACAATAAAGAATTTCTGGAATATGCGAGGGTAAGCCTAGATCGACGGCCGGTTGATTGAGAGGGTGCATGTCGTGACAAATGGTATTATCAGCGACGTTGTTAACAGTGTTGCGTCTATGTTGAGACTCCGGGCTACTTTGTGGCGGAGTGAGCATCTCCTCGCGAGCTCGCTGGTACATCCCTTCCAGCGGCAGAGTCTCACGACTCAACATCTCGAGGCTTATCATAGTCATAGCGATGAAGAAACGCGTCACAGTAATTCTCGTAGAACGTAACTCATCTCGAGAAGTCAGAAAACGAGATATGGAATATGTACATATATATATCTCTCTCTATATATATATGATCGAGAGAGTAATCTTATCACATCATCCAAGATTTTGGTCCAATGTTATAATATTCCTATATGTTGATCTTTAGCACACAGTATTTACACTTATCAATATTAATAAACAAGATTCGTCGTCACTGATAGTCTCTAACTCACGAATACAAAAGATAACTAAAGAGAAAGCTTTGTTGAAGTGCGAAATAAAATGTTTGTAAGAAAAAAAAAGAGAGAGAGAAGAGAGAGATCAGAGGATGTAAAGGAAAAAGAAAATAATGATGGAAAAAGAAAGAAATAGAAAAAAAGAGATAGAAAGAGAAAGATAGAGATAAAGATATAGGATAGAGGAGCGACAGAATGGAAAGCACGGATGACAAGACGGTTGCAGGCACACGACTGCTCTGTCGACTGTAGCGTTGCTAGTGCGCACGTGACATGCGTGGGTGTGGCGGGTCACTGGTGGGGCAAGTGTCAGGGTGATTGGGTGTGGTTTCTACCCATGCCACCCCGCTTCCGGTACCGATTGGAGGAAACTTTTACCGCCTCCAATATGGCGTACGAGCTGGACACCGTATTCGACGGGGGTTGCCTACAACCACCCTGACGACTCTCTTCTTACCCTCGTTGGCACCCCTCGAAGAACAGCGGATAAAAACAAAGGACTACAAATTTTGGCGACGGCGATATAAACGCGGACACACGCTTCCGAGGAAGTTTCTCTCTTCGTATCCATCGAACGTTTTTACTCGAGTACGAGAATACTAGGTTTTATACCCGCTTGGCGATATTCTCGCTTTCCTGAATACGTGCTAAGTGTACAAAAAAAAAGGGCTTCCGATAAATTCACTCTCTTATCGAATATCTCACAAATTCTATCCTCTCACCTTTTTTATCTTATAATTCAGCTTAACAATTTTCTATTATAATTTAGACTTTACTTATTGCGTAGGTAGAATATTTAGATGATTTATTCATTTTAATCCGAAGAATATTCCTCTCGCTTTTAGCTTTTCTTTTTCTCCTTTTTTTTCTTTTCTTTCTCTCTCTTTAATTAAACTGTCTCATTCTTTCCCTGATAATCAAACAAAACAAAACCAAAACAAAAATGAAAATATTTCGTTTCAGATAGCTTGTATTCATTCGTTAATATCCATTCATCCCGTGAGCCACGCCTAGGATGATACCTTGGTATGTATTCATCGGAATCGTCGCGTAAAAGAATTCTCGAGCTTTCCCTTAGGAACTTCCTTTGGTATATAAGGGACTGTCGGTGATTCGGGAAGGAATGGGGAGAGAAATGTCGGAGAAAGGCGAAGGGGTGGTGTATCAGTGGGTGCTTGTGGTGGTGAGCTGACTCGACGAAGGGGATTGTGGAGAGCACAAAAAGAACCGAGCGAAATTAAGAACGGCCGTGCTGCTACTGGCTTCTGCTTCTCTACTTCTCCTACTGCTGGTGAGGTCGCCATTTTATAATCTTAGTCGTGATCATTCGTGTATATATTCCTTTTCATCCCTTTTCTTTTTCTTTCCCTCTTTTTCTTTCTTTCTCTATCTTTCTCACAACGCAAGACGCAAGTGTATTCTCTTTCTTTTTCTCTTTCCATTTACACGAATGCACACACCGTCTCATCTTGGATATCCACGATCACGCAGCAGATATCCAAGGCGTTTCTAGATCTCTTTTCGCTTTACCGGCTGGCTCACCTTCATTTTGTCCTTGTCTTTTTCCTCGAAAGAAAATTCTAACTCTACCACTAAAATATGGATTTTTCGAATGTATATCATATTTTTCTCTCTCTCTCTCTCTTTCTTTTTTTTCTTTATTTTTTGTACCTTTATAAAGTCGGATTAAATATTCGTAACTCAGATATATTTTATCGAATTTCTTTATCGATAATGAAAAGTTAGAAAATGTTTTTCAAATCCTATCAGATGAAAATCAATTGCAATCATTCGTATCATAAAATCGAATTAAATATTCTTAATTGTTGGATTTTTATTTTTACGACATAAAAAGTTTAAAAATATAAGATCAAGCATCGATCAAAGTAATTTATGTGATTTTTGAAAAAGAAAAATATCTAAATCGATTCGATAACCAACGCACCATAAAACTTGTGTTTCTTTTCTTGAACGTTCATCCGTATAATCGTGCTCGTTAACGAGAAAAAATAGTTGGTAAATTCAGTGATGATCGTGATCAATGAACGGACACCACCATCCTTAATGCACCCTAAAGCACGTTGAATTTTCCACCTCGCATCCGTGGGCAACAGATGGTCCACCATTTTGCATATATATTCGTTGATCCTGTTAAATCTATCGCTTTTATGTCACTTTCGTTGCGGCTGAAAGGGACGAACGCATCGACGAAAAAGTCAGTCGTTTGTACTTTTAGTATACCTACACACTATTCCTTTCGACGAATGCAGTCATGCTTAGTTTGTGGCAACGGCGAGAAACCTAATCGATAACCATATTCGGTGGCTATAAATCATCGCTTTCTTTTTATTATAGTAATCTTATATGGTTTGCTTTTTCGTTTTATTGGATTATCATATATTTCCGCAAAAAATATGAACTATAATTATTCAAAATTATTATTACGTGTATATATATAATATACTATAATATAGTATAATATAGTAGGATATTATAGTACTATATAAATAGTATATATAATGATAAATAAATAAATTATTTATTATAGATGGACGGATAAAATAATTTTAAGATTTGATCAAAACACTCATTTTTATAAAATTATTAATATTTTTCATTCATACTTACTTTCTTAAAAAATAACTTTGATAACTTCAAACCTTTTAAGTACTTAATACTCTTGACCAAAGTGCTATTCATGGATACGAAATACTTTTTCGTTAGTATTAGTTTTATTGATTGATTATAGTAGCACATAGTAATTTTGATTTTAAGTACATCATAGTATTATTTTTATAATAGATAGATTATAGTAACAGATGTATACTAGCATAATTGATTGATTATATGTAATACGTGTACCTAAGTTACTCATATAATTCTTTCATATAAAAGAAAAAGTACAAAAGAGACAAAGTTTCTTTCTAATAAAATTTTTATACGACAAAACTCGAGACAATTATCAACTTTCACGCAAACGATAAAACGTATTCTTTACATTTATGTCGATGCAATTATGTGTTCTATGCATTTATATCGCATGCATGTATATATGCCCATAGTCCATAGGCTGATAACTTTTTTTTTTTTACCAAACGCATATTTACGTCCGTAATATTAATTCTCAAAGGATTAAGAAAAAAAAGAGAAAAAAGGAAAAAAGAACAAGATAGATAATCTCTCTCTGTGGGACGATTTAGTCTCTCAGGTTTGGATCTGTACCTAAGCTCTTCGCATTTGTATCGTCGAGGAGATCGTTGAAAGGGAAAATCAAGATGTCCGCTTTTTGCGCTTCTATTTTCGATAGATCTCTCTCTCTTTCACTCTCTTTCTTTCTTTCTCTTTCTCGTGAGAGGATGTAGAAGCTATTCAGGGAGTGTCTCTGCGATTGCGCGGCTTTGCTAATTTCCGTGGGCGTCCTTCTCGGCCTTCGATCACGCGAATCCACCCTTCGTCGGTTCCGTTGCACATGTCGACACGCCTCCAGGAGTCCTCCGTAAGCGTAAAAAGCATCGCCAGCGGGGGGTATAGAGGGTTTTTCACGGCTTGGCAAGGGTAGAATGCCGCGTTTGGGCTCACCTCGGGGGCTTGTGCCGAGCGGATGAGCCACGTAACAGAAAAAAAAACAAGAAAAAAAACACACACACACAAAACAAGAAAGATAGAAACAAGAAGAGAACTCAAGCTTGAGCACGGTCTGTTACTCTGGAATAACATCCCCCTTTGGCACCCTTGACCTAACAAATTATGACATTTATTATTTATTTCTACTATTTATTTCTTGTTCATATTGGACCTCGTAAATACCTTCCAATAAAACGACAACAACGAAGGACAACGAAGATCTATGCGAATAAAATTTATCTTTCTTTTTTTTTCATTTTCAAAGAAATAATGATTTATACGTAAGGTAAGGTGAAATTATGGTTATAGGTACATTAGATCGTTTTAAAAAATTCTTGATCATTTTTTCAAGTTTAACATTTTATTGATAGAATTACTGGTAAACTAAAAAAAAAATTAAAATATCTTTTGCATGTAAAATTTATGGAAAAAAGAAGAAAAAAGAAACTTTCTGGTGGATTTCTAATATCTACACATAGATACATAAAATTCGTGAAACTCTTGATAAATAAAGGAAGATTGGAATATATTTATTCGTAAAATTGTATGAAATATTAATCGAATATGGCGTATAATCAAATCGCGTAGGTATATATATGCATGTTTAATCGAATTCGCAGCGGACAAATGCTCTCTATATCTATTTCTCTTCTTCTCACGTTAGGTATGAACGTTTTCATAACGTTAACGCGAGTAATATATTATATCACCCTTGCAACACGTAAAAAGATTTGAATATATGCCACCTACTT